GGGAGGCGTGGTAAAAATGTCTGCTGGCGTGAATTGGTGTGTATTCGTGTGCAACAGTTACCACAGCTAACTCGGGGTTCAGCAAGTTTTTTTTTTTTTTTTTAAAGTTTAACGAAGCTAACTCGAGTTCACCCAGCTTAGCTGAAGTTTAATGGGCAATCTAACCCGTGTATTCTTTCTCTACCCCCTCCCCCCCTCAAATCTCCACCCCCATACCCACACCACCCCCTCACACACAGAGAAAATGGAAATTTCAGCGACCGCTGGTGTCTCGAGGCCAGCAAATTTATGAGCTCTCTCTTTTCCCATCGCGAAACCCTACATTTGTTTTTTTTTTAATTTTTGTTTGTTTAATTTTAAAATGATCTCATGCTAGTCACGTGATCATGTTCATTGCTCTTAAAAAAAAACAACAACAACTGTCAATAGACTTAGAGATATTTGCATAAATTTAGGACCACTAAACCATGTGTACGGGCAAAACGACCATCATGACAGCCCCCCCCCCAAAAAAAAAACAAAAAAACAACAACAACATCCTAACTTATTAATGCATCTATCCATGTCTCGTGAACTAACATGCTACAACGACCATTTCTACGAAACCATCCAAACAACAGACGCCATTTGTCCCACCTCCAAGAAACCGTCCTTGAAAGTCACCAACAACCAACAGGACATTCTCTTGCGTGGGGTCGAGCTGACTTCTCCTATGACCCAGGCTATTTACGACAACGGTTTGCCTCACTCGGGTAGGTGTCTTACCTATGGCCGCAACAACAACGCAATGGAAGAGTTACCCAGTGCCCTCAAAAGCGCATTAGAAAGCAGCTATATTCCATATTACTGGCGGTTATTAATAGAATCTTCGCTGGCATTGCTTCATATAGTCTACACATGTATATTAAAAGTCAGATTTGGGAATCCCCGATAGCCTCTTTAATTGGAAAAAAAGGGGAACCACCACTAAGCTTAAACTGCGTTGCTCGTTTTAAACAGTTTTGGTCATTAAAACAGTTTTTAAAAATTTTATTAGGTGCAAAATCAGGGGTTCTAAAATAATCAGGACTTGTTACAAATGTATAAAACTAGTTGAAACTTAATGTAGCGCTCTGCATGTAATTTTACAATTTAAGCAAGGCATCGGTTTGTGTAAATATATTTTTTTTTACCTATGTGTGTGTACCTTATCGAAATAACAAATTAACAGTTTCGGGGGGCCCCTGGGGAAAAATTAAATCAGTGGGGGGGGGGAGGAGGGGTATTTATTTAATTTAACACATTACCCCCAAGCCACCCGAATCGCCCCGCCTCCCCCCCACCCCCCCCCCCCCGGAAAAAAACATTTTTTTTGTTTTTTTTAAAACTAGTACCAAAAGGAAATAGAGTTGATTTGAAATTCGAAAGATCTGTTTACACCAACTTGGTAAACCTGCTTCTCGCCCGTCTCTTAAAGAACATTTCCTAACGATGTTTAAATATCCATGAACACTATACGCAACTTGATATCTTTAGAACCGGGAGACCACCCCCTAGAAGTGTGAGACCCCCTAGAAGTGTGAGACCCCCGCTAGAAGTGTGAGAGGCCCTCAAGAAGTGTGAGAGGCCCCCTAGAAGTGTGAGACCCACTAGATGTGTGAGACCCACTAGAAGTGTGCGACCCCCCTAGAAGTGAGAGACCCACTAGAAGTTCTAGAATTCCTAGAAGTGTGACGTCCCCTAGAAGTGTGACACGCCCTAGAAGTGTGACGCCCCCTGAGAAGTGTGACGCCCCCTAGAAGTGTGATGCAACCTAGAAGTGTGAGGCCCCCCCCTAGAAGTGTGAAGCCCCCTAGAAGTGCGAGCCCCCCACCCCCTTCTTAGAACTGTGACGCCCCTTAGAAATTTAAGACCCCCTAGAAGTATAAGTGTGAGGCCCCCCCTAGAGGTGTGAAGCCCCTAGATGTGCGAGCTCCCCCCCCCCCTTCTTAGAAGTGTGACGCCCTTTAGAAATTAAAGACCCCCTAGAAGTATAAGTGTGAGGCCCCCCCTAGAAGTGTGAAGCCCCCTAGATGTGCGAGCCCCCCCCCCTTCTTAGAAGTGTGACGCCCTTTAGAAATTAAAGACCCCCTAGAAGTATAAGTGTGAGGCCCCCCCTAGAAGTGTGAAGCCCCCTAGATGTGCGAGCCCCCCCCCCTTCTTAGAAGTGTGACGCCCTTTAGAAATTAAAGACCCCCTAGAAGTATAAGTGTGAGGCCCCCCCTAGAAGTGTGAAGCCCCCTAGATGTGCGAGCCCCCCCCCCTTCTTAGAAGTGTGACGCCCTTTAGAAATTAAAGACCCCCTAGAAGTATAAGTGTGAGGCCCCCCCTAGAAGTGTGAANCTGTGACGCCCCTTATAAAGTAAAGACCCCCTAGAAGGATAGGTGTGAGGCCCCCTCTAGGAGTGTGAAGCCCCCTAGATGGGCGAGCCCCCCCCCCCTTCTTAGAAGTGTGACGCCCCTTAAAAATTAAAGACCCCCTAGAAGTATAAGTGTGAGGCCCTGGGTAGCTGTCTGGTGTACCCCATGCCTTAAGACGACGACACTGACCACTGGCCAGTGAACATTAGACTCTTAATCACTGATCAGCTAGACCTCAACCAGACGAAGGTTCTCACCTCAACTTCTAAAAGGTACAGAAAGTTCCTGATGCTCTTAACGAACGAAGAAGTTAATCGTTGGTTTATTTTAGAGCATTAGTAAT